CCCCAACTGGTGGAACTGTGGCCCTCCCATACACTCTAGCTTGTATTCACTGGTACAAAGTCCACCCAAATGCAAGGTTCTATTTTGGATTACCAATTCAAGTATGCCTGCCATCATTTGAGATTGAATCAGTTGCAGCATTCATGCCAGTGTTGCGGATTGACAGTGTTTGTGTTGTAGCCAACTTGGGTTATGATCTTAAAACTCCCAATGGTAAAGAGAGAGTCACTGTTGCTGTTCCACTTGATGTCAAATTACACGTATGAAGAACATGCAGTACCATATCAAACTTTGATAAAGAACCTTAAACTTGTGGTTCTTTCAAACCAACACATGTAGTAACATTTGAATCATAAGTTAAAGAAAATTGTAATGATTTTACAGTGCAAGAACTTCAACAAGAGCTTCTGAGTAATTGATTTTAATAACTGATTAATTGATGTATTGATTGATTGATTGATTACTCTAGTCAAACCAATCAGAGGTCTTGTGGAGTAATGTTAAGCCTGGTACCATGTAACAACCTTTTACTGTAGGTTTTGCTTATTGACTTACCATTGGCAGCAATAAGTCTGGATCAAGTCATGGAAAAAATTCACTAATCTTTGTTTTTCATATTAAACATGCCCTATAGAATTTTCTTTTTCTACATACAAGTTTACTCAAGCTCTGATCAGTGTTAACCTACAATGTATATGTTGTTGTTGAACTGTAAACATCACACTGAAAATTAAGCAGAAAATGATATGACATTCATGTGTGACAGAAAACTCTGCTACATGTGCTGTATGTGGAGCTATGCTACATGTATATGTCAACGTCATGTTTCAAGAGGGATGTTCAATTTTTTTCTTTAGTATGTTTCGCAGCTCTAAGACTAAAGTGCCTTGGAACCTTTGAGTCTAAATGCAAAACATGGACCTTCAGTTGATAGTACTTGTACATCCTGATGTTAGAAGTTTGTGGAATTTTTAGTTAAATTTTAACTTTTGTGAGGTTTTATTCACAGTGCAAAATTTTTATTGTAGTGTTCTAGCAACACGATAAAATATAAAATATTTTGTGACTGTCAAAATCTCAAGATTCATAAGAAAAAGAACAGAAAATATTTATATTAAAGGAATCACTTCTACTGTGTACTTCTACAGATCCCTGATGTTGACCTTTAAAAAAGCATTGTCATGCTTTTTAAAAGGTCAACATTAGGGATCTGTTTATGGAAGCAAAGCATAAAAAGAAGTTAATTTCTCATTATTATTATGCTAACAACACTATGGTACACGTATTTAGTTTTTCACAGGAGAAGTGATTCCTTTAATACAAATATTTTCTGTTCTTTTTCGTATGAATCTTGAGATTTTACTTCATTTCGTTATTACTGAGGTTTGCACTATTGTTGTCAGTAAATATACAAATGCCGAATAAATTGTGTGAACATTGTAATATGAACTACATCTTTGTGGTGATATATTGACGGTCAGAATCACATGTATGACCCAATGAAACGTCCTGAATATCTATGATCAACCCCGTAACCCTGTAATTAACCATTACGGTTACTGTTAGGGTTCGGGTTAGGGTTGTGGTCATACCTGGGTTGGTGACATACATTGACAAAATTAATTAAAGGATTTATCTCATGTACTTCGTGTATGGGTACATATTTGAGTTTTCGGGGTCTGAGTTTTCGTGACACCCGGTTAATTCTTCTTCAAATAGATATAACCCAGTTATCTACTTTTTACAATCATTAATGTGCGGTATACTTTTTAAAATATCCACGAAAGACTGCTAACAAGGCGTATTCAATTGAGGGGATTCAAAACAAATTTTCCAGGTGAACGTGGCGTGTTGTGTGCGTCGAGAATACTCCAGGATTCTATGGCGATACGAAAACGTATTTTAGACTCGAATACGCCTATTATCGTCAAAGCGGAGAGTGAGATTTCATTTTTCTGCCGCTTGCGATGAACGCTTGAAGAAACAACAGCCGAGAAAAGCAAATGGTCTTGCAATTTTCTGAGAGCGAGCTTAGCGCCTCTGAGCAAGGCCGTCATCACGGATCGTGACAAAACTAAGCGAAACGAATTCTCTTGTATACGAAATTTTCCATAAAACGAATTTATATGATTTGAGTTTAGAAATTTTACTAACAACCCGACTGGAAGAAATATTGGTGGGTAAATTACGTTGAAAGCACTCTTCATGATTACGCATGCGCTGATGCTTTCGGACTTACAGCGGTAACCACAATGATGGAATACCGCTTGTCGGGCTAAAGAAATAGATTTTGTGACATTCAAACCTTACAAGCATAAGATCGGCCAGAGGCCTCCTAGGAGGGTTCTATGGTTTGCATCAAATACGCGGCAGCGTTAAATGGGTTTGGCGTCCCGGTGCAAGTCATCCCATGCAACTGATCTTAGGGCATTCCGCTCTCAAGCTTTGCGAAATTGGTGAGTTGCACCACCACGTAGGTCGGTGAGATGTAAGGTATGTTCCGTTGCTGTTTTTTTTTAGCACTTTATTTAAACAAGGTTTTCACATTCAGTGGCCAGGCTGGTATTCGAAAAGAGCCCTGCGATGGGTAGATTCTAAATACTAGAATATAAAATAGTACTCGGAAGTGTAAACACCTGTAGGAAATAGAACTATGCATAACGCGAGTCAAAAGAGCTATACTGAAGATTGGCATGAATTTTAAGTCTTATGCCTCCACGCAAAATTCTGAATAGAATACACCCGATGGCATTAACAAAATGATGTAAGTTAAGTATAGATCTTCGCGCCTTGTTGACTTGAACGTTCTGAAACGAACAACGAAAAGCACGTCCGAAAATTTAAGTTTTCGCGTAAAGAGAAATAAGCGCCGTGAATTAATTTGGCCGATTAAACTGAAACCGCGTGCCGTTAAGTATCAGAGTCCTGGCTTCCCTTGAAACGCCGCACATGACGTACCCAGGCCATGATTTTTCCTGACACGCCGCAACGGACGTATCAGGATCGGAACATGGCACTCTCCGACGCGTCACGTTTCTTGACACGTCACGTTCTGATCTCGGACACGCCAAGTGTCGAGGAATTTCACAGCCACGTAAATCCCACGAAACTACTCATTTCACGTAGCTTATTGATATCTTTGCGCAATGCGTAAAGGAGCGTACAGATACGTTATGGATATCTTTACGC